GGAACAAAGCGCGGTTCGAAGGGATCGCTTACGCTCCACATGCTATCTGTGGTTTTATTTTCGACGATGTACGGAATATTTTCAATCTGAAGTACCCAGGACATGGCAAGTATTCTACGATTCCCTCCCGACATGGCAAGTATTCTACGATTCCCTCGGCTCTTGTCGCGGTCAGGAGTCTTTCAGATTAGTGAAGTGGTTGAGGCGGATAATGGGGGAGCTTAAACTCAACACGGATGGATGTTCCAGGGGCAATCCGGGACGGGCAGGAGGTGGTGGTGTGTGAGGGTAAGTTCCTGCTCGCTTTTTCCACATATGTTGGGAGCTGTACTAGCATCCAGGTTGAGGCAAGGGCTCTTCTCTTTGGGGTTAACTTGTGCATCTCTCGTGGCTATGTGAGAGGACACATGGAGGTGGACTCTCTGGTACTCGTTCAGATAGTGCAGCAAACAATTCGTTGCCCGTGGAGTATTGATATGGAAGTCCGGTCCCTCCTTCAGCTGTTGCCCCATGTCGCTAGCATCACTCATTGCTTTCGAGAGGGTAATCAAGTGGCTGATAGCTTATCTAATATTGGCTGTGACGAAGCCTGTGACAGAACCTATCATCATCTTTCGGAGCTCCCTACTCAAGCCCGAGAGGCATTTAGGTTGGACAGGCTTGGCCTCTCTTCCCTTCGAAAATGCTAGGTCCATCCTAGTTTTAATACATGTATTGTCCTCTTGGGAGGTAAGGTCTATGCCCCCCTCCGGCTCTGTCTATCCGCTTAAAGGAATAAAATTTGACCTTTGTTTGTTAAAAAAAAATTGATTAACTAAGTATCCCTTTAATATATTAGGTATATATATATATATATATTGCAACCAAATTAAGTTGATCATTTTTTTTGCATTTTAATAAGTTATTAACTGAGTTTGAAATGAAATCATTATTTTGTAAAATTATTTGAATTATTCAATAGTTATCGACATACACAAATATTAAAAAAATGCTTTATAACTTTAGTATTGGAATGTTCAATTTTAATAGGTAATAAAGACCAAAAAACAATTTTTTTAAAAAATTCCTAAAAGCTATAGTTACATGTTTTACCTATAACAATTTGAGGTGTATGTGCACTAGTAATAATGGTAATTAATTTTTATATTACCACTAGAATTCTCCTTTTTTATTTTATATATTATCCATGTATTGTCAATGATATTGTGCTGAGAAAAAGTGTTTTCATGAAATTTGATAGGGATTTATGATACATTCGTCATAGCTATAATTCAATTCACATTTCATTTCATCTTAAAACCCCTAACTTGAAACTTAAGGGATCATATTGATTGAAACTTCAAACATTCAAGGTCTAAAAATATGAAGTTAAAATATTTTGACTAACGTCAATTTGATTTTGCCTATTATTTGTTGTGGTTTTCTATTAACTGTCCAAAATTTGCCTAAAATCAGAAACTTTAGCCACCAAATTTGTTTTGGGTGAAGCATTAGGGACGAGTTTAGCATACATGTCAAATAGTGGGGACTAAAACTACAATTCTCCCTAATTCAGACATTGAAGATAGTTGAAAGTCTCGAAATTTACTTATGTAATTAAGACAATAAGACTTTGAAATCAAATTTCCAAGTATTTGCAATGCCTATCAAAAGAACACTTACTTTAATTCTAAAATTAAAATAATCCAAGAACTCCTTATTTTTTTCATCATGAAGGCCAAGTCCATTCTAGACCTTCCATTGAATATCTTTTGGCTAAATGCAACAATGTGGTCTGACTTCTCTCTTTTGTCCTACACAGAATCACACAAGACTTGTGAAAACTACAAAAGAAACCTCCAAATATAATAGCAACAAAACACACTCGCAAAAACTTGTGTGATGTTTTCTTTCGAAAGAATCAAAACACATTACAATCACACACGTTGCTGCTTCTAAAGGAAAAGTATAGATATTAGTTTTTATATCCTGTTATGGTACACTCAAGTAAAGCTTTCTGGTGCAATACTTGGCAGTTGGCACTCGTCCTCTTGCTATTGTCCCATCCTGTGAAACGTAGATTCCAATTAATTTCGTGATTATTAAAATTCTAGATTTCTCAAAAGATATTTTTAGCGTTATTTTCTTTTGCTTTATGAGATATATAACAATGGTAAAAAGAACGTGCTATAATTACAAATGCAATGCCTTTTATTCTTTCAAGCACGCAAATTTTTCTCTGTTAATTTTTTTTAATGTCATCATTTCCTATTTCACTAATATATTTGAATTATGTATTATTCCTATTGGTAAGTTATAAGCAACGGATGATTATGTATATGTTATTTCATAGAACAGAAATCTGAGAAGGAGTCACTATGACTTTTAAGCAAGGTGGAATACTTGTTTAATTATGATTGAGTGCTTTAGTGCTTTTGACATCTGTTGCATTTACATGATATAAATCTATTTCTTGGCAGCAACCTCTTGTTTGAATCTGAAAGTCTTTTTGTCATACTATGAAAAATGCCGTATTGAAACAAGTAGACAATACAACATTGTAGCAGAAATTTGTAGGACGACCAAGCAATATGGTTGTTCTTATACATCAGCTGATTATGCTACAAAGAAAACAACTGAACACTTCTTTTGTCTTCCATGCATAATTTGGATTGCTACCTGGTTATTCTTCCATGCACAATTCGACATTTGCTTCCTTGAAAGAATTCAACTTTTATTCTGTGTTTTTAAGCAAAATTTCTATAGAATGCACTTCTTTTTACCCTTGACAGTATGAGCATGCAACTTGGGCATGCATTTTTGGCTAGAAATTTGGTCGGAAGTCAGTTCTCAGACCAAATTGGTATATTTTTCATATGGCAAGAATCATTTTGTATTACTTTATATGCGACGGACTGAAAAAGAATTTTTTCAATATATTGAAAAGAACCAAGGTTGAAATTAGTCTTACAGTTAGAAATTGTAATTTCGTATTGTGTTAGTGTTTGTTCAATCACATATATGTGTTAGACACCGAAATCTCTCGTCAAAAAAGGAAAAATTAATAAAGAAATATAATGCCATACATTGGGACAGAGCTTTCAAGGGGCAAAGATGAGCTGAGTTGAGCCTGTTCAATCCAAATAAAGTTTTGAGTGCGATTCAAGTACTGGTTGAGCTTTACCGAGTGAGGTTAGTTTAAGCCGGGAGCATAATTTTATGAGGTCTAATAATATTAACATACACGTTTGGAAAAAAAAAAATATTAACATGCAGGATTATAGAATTGAACGGATAAAATATTCAGATAATATACACATATATATATAGGGAGATAAGAAAATATATAACTGCAGCAATTTTATTAATATCTCAAGCAAAGGAAGGAAGAACGTCACACCATAGTAAAGATCCAACAACTTTTCTGAAAATTCTCTTAGACTCTCTTAGACAAATAATCTAGAAATTTGCATATTTATAATCCACAAGACTATAAAAAAAAAAGAAATTACCACACAAATAATTACCTAAAAAAGCCAATTTCTAAATGATAAAAGTACTAAAATTTGACCCCAAAAAACTACTAAATAATTTAATGAAAACTTCTATACTTGGTTCATTGTACTAACATTGCCGCTTTTAAGTCAAACTTATCATTGTGGAGATGTCCAGTATTGACTTAAATATGAATTGCTATTGATAATGTCATTGTATAGATGACATGCAACTTTATCGTGTTGTCTATCATCATTTTTTTCTATAAAAAATGATAATGGACAAACATTATGCTTTGTAAATAATTAATCACCAAAGTCATCATATTTGCTCATGGAAGAGTCACCAACAAAAGTGGTCAAAAAAGGTGGAGGGATGGGTTAGGTGATTCTAAGGGATAGAATATAACCCCGAGAGATCTTGGATTCAAATCGTCTCACTTATACTATAAAAAAAAAAAGAAAAATAAGTGGTCAAAAAAACAAAATCTAATTGTCTTTTTTGCTAAAATTTTCACTGCCAAATAATTCAAAAGGCCCATTAGTACAACTATTAAAATCTCTCATACAACTACTCAAGTTTCTTCCATCAAAAAAATTTTCAATTCTAAAAAAATCCACGTTAATTAAATTAAATGTTTCATCACCTTGAACAGAATCCAAACCAACAAAAATTTCAACAAAAATTTCTTTTGCTTCTCTTACCAAATCGAAATTCTCTTTGTCCTTTACCAGATTAAAACATCTTTTTCTTGAATAAATTCATCACTCCCAAATTCTAGAAACAGGGTATGCATATAAAAAATGTCAACTGAATCAAAATCTTCAAAACATTCATGCCATTAGCAAATAAATCTTTCTCAAAATTTACTACCCATCCGCAAAAACCAAATTTTAGTTTAAATGCATATTTCAACTCAATATTTTGCAAAACATAATAAATATTCTTCCAAAATCTTCAAGGTATTAGCACAATGGACAAATGTTCTGAAAATAACATAGTCATTGTTTTACATATTACTTGAAAAAATACGGAGTTTTCTTCTTTCGAACTCTTTTTGGAAACAAACTTGTGATAACACCACCAAAAAAAACTGTCTAAATTGCACTGTTGAAAATAGTTCTTCACTTTTAAAAGCCAATTAATAAATGTGTGTGTGTGTGTGTGTGTGTGTTTCGATTTGTGTTTATGGGAATTAATGTATTAAATTGGTCACATTTGAAAAATATATGAACTCTCGCACTATTCAATATTCTAATTCCTGAACAAAATTTTCCTCTCCCTTTTGTCAAATTTTCTGGCCTTCCTAGCTGATAAACCAACCAAATGTTTCAATTTGATAACCTGCAACAATCAACAATTCTAATGGATTCTTCTATGATATTTGTCTTTAACACCCAATCTTTTTTTTTATAATATAAATATTTTATTTATTTTAAGAAAATTTTGGCAGAGTTTTCCCTTATAAATAGACGAAACTCCCTGCCAACAAACCCAAATTCAAGGAAAATATCACATGGCACATGCTACATTGTAACTCTATGAAAGTTTGGAAATCCCAATTGATGAAGAGCTAAGCAACTGGTACGAGAGCACCATCTTCTGTATCTGAAGCAGTAAATCTATTTTTTACTTCTTTGCAAAGAATCCCGAATTAGCCAACGTCCTAGGCTAGCCTACTTTCCTCCGCCTGAGAGAAGGCATGCCTTACCTGTTTATGCGAATTTCCCCTCGCGTCTGTCTTGGAATTGCATTGAAGTCATCATAAATGGTGACATTCCTGTTATGCCTGGACGCACCCACCTTTGCCAAACTGTCCGCCACCCTATTTGCTTCTCTGTAGCAATGAGAAATTTGTGCCGTATCAGTAATCATGCCCCAAATAGGGTCTACCTCCCGTCGTATCACCCACGGGTACTGGAGCCGGCGTTGAAGAATCCCAACGAGAACTAGGGAATCAACTTGAATACTTACATCGATAAACCCCTTTTGAACGCACAAATGGACCCCATTACCAGGGCCAATGCCTCTGCACGCAAACTCGAAATTTCCCCAAAGTAAGTTGAGAATGCAAATAATGGCAATCCCGATGAGTCGCGAAGTATTCCCCCACCACCACTTACTCCTGGATTTCCCTTGGAGCATCCATCCGTATTTAGTGTTAGCAATCCCGCCTCTTTCGCCTTCCACCACACCAGGTGAAAACTATATCGCGATGTTTGTTGAGTTGTCCACTCATATAGCTGAAGAAACGTGTGCACCTCAAGCTTCTGGTTAAACTGAATCTCAACCACCCCTATCACATCTAACAAAATGGCATGACAAATCTTCGCCACTGACATCTGCCTTCCTTCGTAGTATGCAATGTTCCGAGCCTTCCAAGTATGCCAACATATAAAACTAGGAAGAATCGAGAAGAGAAACTGTCTTACCGCTTGCCGAGGGGAGAACAGCCACCAAGCCGTTAGCCATGCCCGTAGTAACGAGCCAAGTTGTGTAACCCCACAAATCCTACCAAAATATCTCCAGACATCCTTTGCAACTTGTCCCTCCGCGAACACATGTTCCAGTGTCTCAATCGCTCCCCCTTGGCAACACAAGCACTTTGAAACCAATTGGACTCCAATCCTCCGCAAGACATCAGTTAAAGGCAATTTTCCCAACAGTAAACGCATCATGAAGAATGAAACTTTCAACGGAATCCGAGGATGCCATACCTGAGAGTGTAAGACGGAGTAATTTTGAGCTTGACGGACCTCCTGAAATACCGATGCCAACGTGAATTTTCCCGACGCCGTCTGGCTCCATACCAACTCGTCATGGCGATCTCCACTTGGGACCGGGTGTTCTAGAATTAGAGCGATGATTTCTTGCGGTATATATTGCCTTAGCATAGCACCATTCCATTCCCCATTAGTGAGGAAGTCCTTGAAGGAGTGGGTAGGGTTCACTATAGATTTCAAACATAGAGCTTCACTTCCCAACCAGTTGTCATACCAAAAATTACATGACCCCGCATTCACCACCCATAGCATGGCTAACTCCACCTGTCGGCTTATGTTTAACATTCGTCTCCACGTCGATGAGTCAAACCTTCGCAATTCCACCTGGCACGGATGAAGGTCCCTATAGTATTTAGCTTGCATAAACTGTGTCCAAAGCGACTTTCCAGTCTGAAAAGTCCACCACAATTTACAAGAGAATGCCGAGTACACATCCCGTAACTTTCTGAAACCCACTCCCCCCTCCTCAACCGGAAGACATAACTAAGACCATTTGATCCAGTGAAACTTTGTCCCTTGCACTGTTGATCCCCATAGAAAATTCGCACAAGCCTGCTCTATTCGATTAAAAATCGAGACGGGACATACCACGGCTGATAGTAAGTGAACTAGGATGGATGCGAGCACATGCTTTACCAAAATTATTCTCCCTCCCGGGGATATCAACCTTAACTTCCAAGACATAATTTGAACCACCACCGCTTGACATACCTCTACAAAGTAAGCTGACTTGCTCCTTCCCAAATACAAAGGTAAGCCAAGATAGCGAATGGGCAACTCCTGTCTAGTGAATTGTGTAATCCTCTCAATCACTCTTTTCCGAGCTGGGGATAAAGTAGGATGAACCAAGAATCCGCTCTTTTGAACATTGACCAATTGTCCTGAGGAAAGTTGATACGCCTCTAGCACCTGCATGATTTGTTTTAAAGCAGTAGTCGACCCATTGGTAAAAATCAGCACGTCATTAGCAAAAGCTAGATGCGTGACGACAGGATAGCCCATTGGGACTCGAAACCCTACAAAATTCTGCTGCAATGCTAAAGAATTGAGCCCTCGTGACAGCATTTCCGAACCAATAATAACGAGCACTGGGGATAGTGGATCGCCTTGCCATAACCCCCTGGTAGATTTGAAAAATCCGTGCGATGTTCCATTAGCAACAATTGAAAACCACATGTTAGAAATAAGCCGCCAGACCAGGTCTATAAAACGCTCTCCAAAACCAAATGCACGCAACATGGTAATAATATGTCTCCAAGACATCCGATCATATGCCTTAGTCATATCCAGTTTTAGGGCAACATTCCCCCCTCTTGCCTTCTTGCCTATGGTGGATATCAACTCTTGAGCTAGCAAGTAATTATCCGTTATGTTTCTGCCTTTGACAAACCCCGTCTGTTGGGGCAAGATAATTCTTGGTATAACAGAGCCCAGCTGCCCCACTAAAATTCTGGATAATAATTTACTGAAAAAATTGCAGAGGCTAATAGGTCTGAATTTAGAAAAATCCCATACTACATTTATGGTCCAGTTTTCATCAACTAAACACTCCATGACCTACCTTGTGATCTGACTCTTTATACCCTAGTACTGATAGCGAAACCCTAATACTAACCTTGTAATCTAACTCTTGATACCAATTAAAGAACCTCAACTTTACAAGTTTTAACAATATTAATGCATAGGGATATAATATTGAAGAAATAAAATAATCATATGAAAATTATACATTAGAGATAAGAGAATAAATAACTCATAATGAGGAGGGGAGGTTGGGTGGTTTGGAAGGGGGGAGGGAGAGAAGAGAATGCAAATGAGAAGCCCTGGCTTCGAATCCTAAGACTTACCAAAAAAAAAAAACTCATAATAGGGAGTGTAAGGCCCGAAAACAACCAATGAGACAAACATAAACAATGGAAAGATCACAAATGTAATAGTAAGTAAATAAAATGAAAGGATTGCAAACCAATTAACTACCCAACTCCTCTTGAGCTTGTAGATTAATTGAAACAAGCTACTTCAAGTTGATGAATTACAATCACTCTTGTGTACAAAGGAAGGTTCACCTCCTCCTTGCCCCAAGCAGCACTCGGTCAAGCCAGGACGTTTTACTATCCCTCAGGACAACCCTCACAGAGCTACACTCATGAAAAATTCACTCACAAATGAAAAGCTTACAATGAACCTCACACCACTAAGACTACAAATATTCTTTTTGGAGTATTTTCTCACTAAAATCTCTCTAGATCTTTTGTATCTTCAGTGTGCCAAAGTTGTTTGAAGTGTCTGACCAACCACTATTTATATAGGACCAAGAGAGTGCCTCATTAAAGCTTCCAACGGATAGAAAGTAGCTGAAGAGTCAACTAGCCGTTGGGGACGTCGGACGTCCGACAGATTAATCACCGTCCGATCCCATCGTCCGAAAATCAGCCAAGTTGTCGTTCGGACGTCCGATGGTATTTTATCGTCCGAGTTTCTGTGTCCGAACGTCGTCCAGAGAGTTATCAAATCTTCGTGGAATTTTTAGGACGTCCGATGAGATTGATGTGCGTCCGAAGCATGCGTCTGATCCTTCAGGACGTCCGATGCTTCCTTACGAGCGTCCGACAGAGTTTCCTTCTTGATGTTCTTCATCCTTTCGGACGTCCGATCCTGACTATTTGAGCGTCCGACAGCTTCAGCATACTTAGTCCCCTTTCAATTGCACTTGTTCATGGAATCAAACAACTTCAAAACTGAAAATATATCTTGAAAAAATATTAGTATCATCCATTTGTTTTGTAAACATCAAAAGATAGGGATCAAGATCAACATTCTCCCCCTTTTTGATGATGACAAAACAATGGATGGAAGGAAGGAAAAAGATTGAGCATATGAGCATAGACTCCCCCTCACTCATTGCAACCAAATTTATAATTTCAGAATAACTCCCCCTAACACATAGCATCCATTTCTCCCCCTTTTTGTCATCATAAGATGAGAGTAATACCCAACAACCATAATCCAACAATAATAACAGAGAATCCAATATTCAAAACAAAACAGAGAAATGATATCAGAATTCAGCAATACCAACATACCAACATATCACAGAGAGATTAGCAAATCATCGTTAGATCAGAATAGTTCTTTTCTCTCCCTTTTTGACACCATACAAATTCAGTAGTATTCAAAAACATCAGCGAAAACACAGATCAAGGTATCGGAAATATCAAAAAAATATTGTGAACAAGAATCACTGCAATGATTAACAAAATCTCCTATTTGTTAAAGTTAGCATCATGTCTAACTATCCACATGCATTTCATACCTCTTCTCATATTCTTTCTCACATAACAATCACTTTTCATGTGACCTTTTTGACAACAAAAATTACACATAACCAAAGAGTTATCTACATGAACAGGTTTAATAAATCTTACTTGTCTTCTCCTATGGATAGCAAATTCGTTGGAAATAGAATTCAAGCTATTCTTTTGAAAACAGACTTGTTTCTTGTGTTTAAACAACTCATTTAGACCATCCATTCTTCTTTTCAAATCACCTTGTTCCTTTTTGAACAAATCACAAAGTTTTGTTTTTCTATCAAGTTCAAAATGTAAAGCAGTCTCACTCTTTTTGAAGTAATCATTTTCAGCTTTCAACTTTTTATTTTGTTGAAAAAGATTTGCATTATCTCGAAGCAAAAAACCAATTTTCTGTTTTAACCCCTTGTTTCTAGTATAGGACTGTTTCAAACTATCATGCAATTTTATAATGAAAGATTCAATATCATCATTAGTTTTTTCATCACTTTCAACTTGAGAGTTATAAGATGTTATCTCATCATCTTCAATGGCCATTAGTGCCATTTGGGCCAACTCTTCTGTTTCTCTTTTTGAATTGCATTCATCCCATGCAATTTTGCAATCTCCTCTTGAACTTCTCTTGTTGAAGATCTTCTTGAAACATTTGATGTGAGGAGTTATATCATTGTCCACTTCCATGTTTTCATTACCCATGAAGGATGGGTTATCCCCCACTTGAGATGCTTTAAAAGCTATGCCTCTCTTATACATTCTTGCATTTTCTTCCTCTTGCACTTTGAATTTCAGCTTTAATTCATAAGAGATTAGGGAATTCACAAGAGATTCAATGGACATAGAATTTAAATCCTTTGCCTCATCTATAGCATTTATTTTGTTTTCCCATTCTTTTGGCAAGGCATTCAAAATCTTTTTATTTTTCTCACCCAAAGAATATTCTTTTCCAAGCAATTTAAGATCTTGAATAATGTCACAAAATCTAGTACACATCTTATCAACATTTTCAAGAGGATGCATTTTGAAAAATTCATATTGAGAAACAAGCAAAGATTTCTTTTGTTCTTTAATATCTTGGTTACCTTCATGAAATTCACACAATTTATCCCAAATATCTTTAGCTGATTTACAACCTTTAATCCTACTAGATTCATTTACATCTAATGCATTGTACAATATATACATGGCCTTGGCATTCAAAGAAAGGTATCTCTTGTCTTTTTCATTCAATTCTTGTCTAGTCTTTAATCTACTCAAATTAGTGGTAGAGTCAACTATTCTAAGTTCATAAGGACCATCTTCTACCACATACCATAATTCAATATAAACGGATTGTAAGAAAATCATCATTCTTTGTTTTCAAATGCTAAAATGAGAACCATTAAACATAGGTGGTCTATCAATAGATTGCCCTTCTAAAAAAGAAACATTTATGGTTGCCATGATCTTTACTCTAAGCGGTTAAGCTTAATCTCTAGGAGACCAAGCTCTGATGCCAATTGTAAGGCCCGAAAACAACCAATGAGACAAACATAAACAATGGAAAGATCACAAATGTAATAGTAAGTAAATAAAAGGAAAGGATTGCAAACCAATTAACTATCCAACTCCTCTTGAGCTTGTAGATTAATTGAAACAAGCTACTTCAAGTTGATGAATTACAATCACTCTTGTGTACAAAGGAAGGTTCACCTCCTCCTTGCCCCAAGCAGCACTCGGTCAAGCCAGGACGTTTTACTATCCCTCAGGACAACCCTCACAGAGCTACACTCATGAAAAATTCACTCACAAATGAAAAGCTTACAATGAACCTCACACCACTAAGACTACAAATATTCTTTTTGGAGTATTTTCTCACTAAAATCTCTCTAGATCTTTTGTATCTTCAGTGTGCCAAAGTTATTTGAAGTGTCTGACCAACCACTATTTATATAGGACCAAGAGAGTGCCTCATTAAAGCTTCCAACGGATAGAAAGTAGCTGAAGAGTCAACTAGCCGTTGGGGACGTCGGACGTCCGACAGATTAATCACCGTCCGATCCCATCGTCCGAAAATCAGCCAAGTTGTCGTTCGGACGTCCGATGGTATTTTATCGTCCGAGCTTCTGTGTCGGAACGTCGTCCAGAGAGTTATCAAATCTTCGTGGAATTTTTAGGACGTCCGATGAGATTGATGTGCGTCCGAAGCATGCGTCTGATCCTTCAGGACGTCCGATGCTTCCTTACGAGCGTCCGACAGAGTTTCCTTCTTGATGTTCTTCATCCTTTCGGACGTCCGATCCTGACTATTTGAGCGTCCGACAGCTTCAGCATACTTAGTTCCCTTTCAATTGCACTTGTTCATGGAATCAAACAACTTCAAAACTGAAAGTATATCTTGAAGAAATATTAGTATCATCCATTTGTTTTGTAAACATCAAAAGATAGGGATCAAGATCAACAGGGAGAATGGTTGAGTTGGGTGGTAAGGTAAAAGGAATTATGAGTAAGAGATCCTAAATTCAAAATTTCACACTTACAAGGAAAAAAGTATAAAAAAAAAACTCATAATAACAATTTTAGTAATATCTCAAATAAGACTATTAGATCCTCTCGTGACTCTCTGAACAAATAACCCTAGCAATTAGACAACTATCATAGAAAGTTCTCTATTTATAACCCACAAAACTTGTAAAATAAGAAACAGCCATATAAGTAATTGCCTAATAAAATACCAATCTCTAAATAATAAAACTACTAAAACTTAAGTCCAATAAAATTACTAAATAATTGAATTGAAACTTCATTTGATTTTGTATGCCAACACATTCCACCTACTAATAGTGACTATGAATATGCCGATAATATTTAAGTGCCTGTTGGCAAACAAAAAAAATGCGCGCAGAGCGGAAGCAATTTTAACACATGTAAAAAATACGTGAAAAGAGGAGGAGAATAAATACAACAATAATAACTCAAAAATTTATTAATCCAAAAGTCAATAATAACAAATATCAAGCCGTTTCACTCACGACAACTCACAAATCTCAATTATGAGATTTTCTCTCAAACCTATTCTCAACACTCAACTCAATTCTTCAACTTAACTCTTCAAATAACAATCTACTAGACTGATAGTATTTATAGACTGCAAAGTTTCCTAAAACAACTATAATTGTGAACCAAAATTTACTTGGAAACTGACTGAGATTTTCTAATATAATATGGAAACTAAACAAATAAGACATCAAAAAGAATTAGGAAACTAAA